ATGGTTTGATTAGCCCTTAGTGTAAAAGTGTTCAATATAGAGCTTTTGTAGTTATAGGGTAGACATAGAAATCAACACTGCACGCTGACTGCCGGTTTTACGCTTCATGCGATCATATATATATATATATATATATATATATATGAAGAAATATAGTTTTAAGGTGTGCTATATTTATGAGATAAAGTGCTCAATATCATTCAATGAGATTCAGCGTATGTAAATATGAATATAAAAGTGAACACTGAGGTCAACAATCAGAGGCGACAGTCTGTTTCATGCTGGACGCAATCGCGATATACAACGAAAGCGATCGGAATTGATGGACATTTTATCGGCGACTCATTGGCCAATGTTGATTATTGAAATGGACATTTTATTTACACCAGGCCCAACTAAAATTTGGTAACCATCAAATTTTAATAAAAGTGGAATTAATGAAGTTTTATTTTTTAACCATTTCATACCGAGCAAAGACAATAGAACCACGAAGACGCAAGCGGTTACTAAATGGGAAAGAATATGAAAAAGGAAAAAAATATAAAAGAGAGAGAACAATAAAAGATCAGGGATTAAGAAGACAGAAGATAACGATTGACTTTGCATTTAAATGTTTTGAAAATCAAAGTTGACTAGAAAGCAAGAAAGAAGAGATGGAAGAGTGTTTACAAGTGAAAGGTGCAAGAGAAGAAACTGTTAGCATAGAACTTACAGTTACATGTAACCATTTCAAATATAAAAGGATGAAATCCAGCTACCAATCTAGTACTATGCTTACATCCGTAAAGTCGAGGTACCAAGACTAATTAGTAAGACTTGTATCACTAAAATCATTACCTCCAAAAAAAACAAAAATTTTTATAATGTAAAAATATTTTCTTGCTTTAAATAACTTGCTAAGCCATAGAAAACAAATTCATCAATAATAATTCTGTTTTTTTTATTGAAAAATATAAATTCAACAGATGTATATTTTCTTAAACTTTACATCACTATAAATTCAGATGATTAGTTATTCGAATGCAGTTTGTCATTTAGTCCAAGTGTTAACTTGACACAATGGATTTAGAACAGAATTCATGAAATCAAATTATCACAATCTGAGTCTTTGTCTTTTAAAATATTACCAAATATTTCCTTGAATGGAAACGGTTAATCTCTGCATCACATTTACGAATGCAATTATAATTTTCATATTATTACGTATAGGAATTGCGAGTGTGTGTATGTGCTTGGCAGTAAGAGTTGAATGAACACCCAAAGCACGAAATAACTGTTTAACAGCTTTTATTTGTGGTTGAAAGGATGTGCAAAACAGTCGTGAAAAAAGAGAGATTTCTCCGCTTGTTCCCACGCGAGGAACGGGAAATTTGAGTGTGAAACTGATAGGACAGGTAGGAGTCTTCTACAGCAAGAGTTGTATGTAGTTTTTTCTTTGGGTAAGTATCTCGAAGGGAAATTTCTCCGTCTCTTTCCCTAGGGAACGAAAAATCTGAAGTCAAGCTGTCAGGATAGGGCCACGTATCTTCTACAGTAAGGATTGAGAGTGACTCTTCGAGCTGGCCTTGAAGGTTGAAGCCGTTGAAAAGAGTAGAAAAGAGACAGAATAGGGCTCAGTCAAGGCTTTTATGATTTCTGGGACTTCCTCATGTACCCTGCTGATTACTCCTGTTGCTGCTACTGCTGAATCGAGCAAAGTTAGAAATTCTTACCTCATACCACAATAGCCAACAACTGAGATATTTATTATATACAACATAACTTACTCTTAATACTACCAGTTCTAAACTTCATGGCTATTCGCACATTGTAACGAGTCACTCTCATTTTATTTGTGTCCCATTAGTGAGAGCTGCACAAGCAGCTTCCTCCAAAGAACCATTGGTTTATGGAACAGACTCCCAAGAGGATGTTTCCACGATTACTATAAGTTTAACCTTTCAAAAATCAAGGGTTAACCGTTATCTTCCCACATATCGCCATAAACTGCGCCTTTTATTCAGTAACCCTCTACCTCAAGTGGCTCTTGGGCCTTATATAGAGTGAACGTCATTGTAAAAACCAAAAGATCACAGACAAATTACATCGAGACCTAAAAGCCCCTTCTGCTTACGAACTTCTATTTTGCCTCCAATACTTTCAAGTGAAATCCGAATTTGCCTGACTCACAATAAAAAGTTAAACTACTAGTGAACAATTAAAACCCATCAGAACAATTACATCAATAACATTTTGAGCAGAATAAGAAATAAACATGGCAGTGATAAAATTTTACTTCATACAATATCAGCATTGTATGACAGAATACTTAGCTATTAAAATATCACAAAAAGCCCGCTTTTTAAGTTTCAGGTTTTTCCATATTTTAGTTTGTTTCATCTGTAAAACTGATTTCAAATTGGCTTGTTTGATTTGGTCCGGGTTGTTTAACAGCATATCAACTTTTTATGGGTCACTTAATGTCGAAACTTAATTTTCATGGAAGCGTTGGTATTTTTTTTTACTATAATTGTTATGTTGTTATTTGCTTAAAACTTTTACGATAAAAATGTAGTGTTTTGACTCCAGTTTGGGGGTTCACTATTTGCCCATACCTGGGACCCTAACAGGTGCTACTACCCCGGGTCTAGGTTGACGTGGGAACAACAACAATTAAGAGGGGGTTCTATGCTCCTGAAAACCTTTCGATCAGAGGCCTTGCTGCCGGATGTAGTTTATCGTCATTTACCCAGGACGAAAACTGGCAAGTTCAAAAAAGCGTCAGTACGTTAATTTGATATATAAATCTCAAAGGTTGAAAGTTAATTATAATGTTATATAATGTTAGTTGTCTATCCGTGTATGTATGTGTGCATGTGCGTGCAAATATTACGTAACAACAAATAAAAATCGCTTTATCTACAGTTATACACATTATATCTTAGTATACGCATTATATTTGTTATGCGCGTTATACCATGGTATGCGTATTATGTATCTTGGCCAAGTCAGTGATTCTCACTGAATTCAAATAAATAATTTGCTTATTCAGCTTGTTTTTTTTTAATAACTATACTCTATAGTTTATTTCTATTCTTGTCTTTTTTGATATTTATAAATAAACAATTATTTTGCTGAAGGCTTGTAATAAAATTATTTATATTAAAACCATTTTCTGCTTTGAAAGTGATAACCAACTTACAATTATATCACAGTAACGGTAATTTGTGGGCTAACCCACTTGGCTTCGCCAAACGCCCATGTTAATACATGCATTAATTGTTTGTTTGAATTCCATGTTTGTTATTTTTACTCACATGAGTCTGCCAAATACTGTTTGCGGCATAAAATGTACCAGTAGCCATTAAATATTTACTGAAAAACGTCACACTTCACAGCAAAAGTGGTGATTCCTGCAAAATTAGAGTATAAAGGGAGGTAAACAATGTCGAATTGTTAATATATTTTATAAATCTTGAAATATTATAAATCATAATATATATATATATATATATATATATATATATATATATATATCAAATAGCGACTAACGTAATGTTTAAACATATCAAAATGTTTTAATTGCGACAATTTTTTATGGCATTCTTTAATCTCTCATAGAAAAAGGGACTTGGCTTGCTCAACGAATGCTATTAATAAGTATTTTTTTTCTTTATTTTGTCTCTAACTTCTACGTGAAATTTAACTTTTCGAGAAAGAAAAGTTCTTTTTTATTATTTTTATTTGATATGTACACAAGTGTATTTTACAAATAAGAATTTCTCTTGGTGATTTCCTGATATGAAACCTCACCAACGCAGCACTTTTAATCGAAACTCAGACTTCTCCTCTGTCAAGAAGTCGCTTCATCTCATCGCTCATTACTTGATTTTTGTCTTTGTATAATCATGTGTTTTATGTCATTTTTGTTTTTATTTTCAATAGATCCGTTTTTGCTTGAAATGTCTATTTATTTATATAATTGATTTGAGAGTTGTACATAAAGATATTTGCTTGGCTAAAATTAATGACTCGATTACAGTAAAAATTCTCGAATAGAGAGTATAATTAAATGAATTTTTTAAGTACGCGAGTTTATTTTTTCGACTTCAGAAAAAATAACTTAAAATAGAGTTTAATTTTTTTAAGTGTTTATAAAAGTTTTTTTTGCATCAGTTAATTTTGACATATTTAATTCATGAAATCAAGTTCTTTTGGAAATTTACCAAAATTAATAAAAATATACATATATGTTCATTAATGAAGAACGTTAGGATATTTCTTATTTCTAAACTGTCAAGTTAAATTATATTCTTGCGCAATGAACACTGTTATTGTTTTGTGAATAGCGAAACAAAAATGGATAAAGAGACCGCTGGTTAAGTTCCAAATCAAAGCAATACTGTCAAAATTAACCATTCAGAAAATATTTACATAACTAGACCTATAATAACTGATACATGACAAGACGTTTATCATTCTTTTTTTATCGGTATCACCGCATGCAAGGTAGTAAAGTCACTAAGACACAATAGGGTGTGGAAGAATTAGGAACAGAAACATTACTAGTGAGCTGGGAGAGAAAAGTGTAATCAGGAGGAGAGTAGATAGCGATTGACATTACATTTATATTTTTGCAGATTAAAGTTGGTTGGAAAGCATGGAGCCAGAGGAAAATTCCACAAGTGAGAAGTGTGAGAAAAGAAACTGTTAGCATAGAACTTACGGTTACTTCGACACCAATCTAGTACTGCACTTAAATTAAAAAAACGTCTAGGTACCAGGTAATTGTTCGGATATGCTCTTTATTACCATGAAATGTGTTCATAGAGAGGTTACTTTGCGGCTGTGGGAAAGTGATTGATGCCAAGCCGCCAGATCAGGACTAATAATATTGTTGATTCTTCCTTGGATTTTATCAACGAGCTTAAGGTAAATAGTAAGGGCACCGGATTATCTGTGACAGAAATAGTCTAAGAATGGGCGAATGGTAGAATCCTTTTTTAAAACGTCTAAAATCTATGATCTGTATTGTTCCCAATTTAAAATTGCTCTTACCTTCTTTCTTTCTTTCTTTCTTTCTTTCTTTCTTTCTTTCTTCCTTTCTTTCTTTCTTTCTTCCTTTTTTAATTGGTGTTTTTTCTATAGTCAACCTCATTTATCAATTTAGACAATCAACCCACTCCTTTTTAGATAACATTTCTTTTCTTCCTCCCTTCCCCTCTCTCTCTCTCTCTCTCTCTTGCACACACACACACACACACACGCATTCTCTCATGAGTTCTGCTCTCAGTTTACAGGTCGATCATTTCCACCTCTTTTCCTTCCCCCTCTCTTGTTTATTTCTTTCTTCTCTCTCTCTTTCTCTCTCTCTCTCTCTCTCTCTCTCATAACTTCGGCTCTCATATTATTCTCTATGTTAATAATTTCCAACGTTTTTCTTTCTTTCTTCTCCTTTGTTTATTTCATCCATCTTTCTTCTCTCCTAATCTATCTCTATATCACTCCCCCTCTCCCTCTCTCTCCCACTCTCTCCCTCTCTCTCTCTCTCTCTCTCTCTCTGATGACATCTGTTCTCAGTTGACACTACACGCCGATCGTTTCCATTTTTTCTTCTCCTCTCACTTGTTTATTTCTTCCACCTCTCTTCACACACACACACACACTCCCTCTTTTTTCTTACTCACTCACTTTCACCCTCTCTCATGACTTTTACTCTAAGTTTTCACCACATCCCCAGCTTTCTTTCATTTCTTTTCGACGCTTACTCATTAGTCACGAGATTCGACAATCTTCTCCGCCCAAAATCATTTCTCCGTCCATCTTGTCTATTTTAAATCACCTTTTTTATTTGTTACGAATCGTTTTTCTCTTTCTAACCCTTATACTTATAACTTGCGTATCTTTTTAACGTTTTTATACTCCTTTTCTCAGTTCCATCTTTATCAACATGTATTCTCAAAATACTTCTCCCCTTTCGATTTTTCTCTTCATTTTGTTTCTCTCTCCTCTTTCTCCTCCTTCTTTTCCTGGTTCACCTCGTATTTGTATTTTTACCCACTTCTTCCTCTCTCTCTTTCTGTCGTGTCATCTGAAAGTCTCTCCTTTCTTCCATCAAATTGCCCTTTATACTGCTTCCTTTTAAGCCAATCTCTCTCTCTCTCTCTCTCTCTCTCTCTCTCTCTCTCAATGCAATCTTTCATTAGTATATCATTCCCTTCTCTTTCTGTACTCTTTCTTTAATAGATCCTTGTTCTCTTACCTTCCCCCTTTTGAAGAATGACTTTCATTTCATTTCTTTCGCGCGTTCAATTTCTTATCCAACTTGCTTTTTTCAATTGCTTCTTTCGTAACTTTTTTTTATTTTATTATACAGCTTCAAATTTTACGTTTTTCTGTTCCGCCATGTTTCTCACCCCACACCTTCACATGACACCAAAAATCACGTCCGCCTTATTCATTCACAAGCCTTCATTTTCGTGATGATAAAAAGCCTAGCAAGGTGAGAATCCCTCTACTTTTTTTCTTATTATTTCGAACAGAGTTGGTCCGACATCACTAAATATAGAGGCAATATGTGTAGAGAGTCAGAAGCTGGCCACAATTTCCCATCATCACCCGTTTTTTTTTCCCGATCTCTAACCCTGGTTCTCAAAAGTTGGCCTCCCGCCCCAACCACCACTGCTCCTTTTGAGTAATTGTCACCTGATTACCGAAGTGCTGCTGTAGGCTGTCGCTACAAGATTGCTGCCAGCAGTAATGAGGTTTCCACCTGTCACCAACTACAAATGCCTCAACACTGTCATCCAACATTTAGACATATGTACGTAAACAGACACCTCTAAATGTATGTTTCTATCTATATATGCATATATGTAGATTTATATAGATATATATACACATACACACACATAAACAAACAAATATATATATATATATATATATATATATATATATATATGCATGTGTATATGGATACTTATGTGTATATGTTCACTATATGCGTATGTCTGTATGTGAACGCGCATGCGTGTGTATGTATGTATAACTGAATGCATTTGTAACTATATATATATATATATATATATATATATATATATATATATATATATATATATTGTACAAATTCACATATGAGATCTAAAATCAATGTACTCTCATCTACAAGTAGAGGGATAAGAGGATGTACTGCCGTACACATATTTCTACGTATAAGTATACACAAGCATGCATGGATACAAGAGAATGTTAAAACTGTTGTTAACCTGAGAAGAAGGGGTGTTTAAAAATCAAATGGTCATTTGGTCAAATTTTTAGAAGTGGATCTGATCAAGAACTTTTCCGTATCTCCTTATATGTGTGTAAGCAATTTCAGTCACTTTCTTACCGGCGTGACGTGCATTTTTCTTCTTTTTATTTTTTTACAGTTATTCACAAGGCTCGGAGGCCACTCCAGATAGATTAAGATTCAGTTTATACGAATAGGAGGTGAGAATAACGGTTCACTTTAGACTTGAACAGGTTAAGATTGTAGGGATCGTGGAAACATCCTCTTAGGAGTCTGTTCCATAGGGCAGTGGTTCATGGGAAGAGGCTGTTCGAATAGAACTTACTTCTCACCGATTGAATACAGGAGAAATGTGAATGGTTTGATACTATATAAGTGGCTTGGTTTATTTGGTTTGGTTTATTTTCTTTTACGGCTTATCAACACCACAATGGATTACTTAATGCCGATAAGATTTTTAGGATAGGTTCGTATGAATAGAATATGTATCAGTTTGTAGATCAGGTTTCATTGGCGTATTTTTGTGAAGAGAGTTTTTTTTGTTGAGAGTCAAATATCGTGCAGGTAATAATTTTTTTTTCAAAAATTTATTGCTGTTATTTTTATTATAAATCTATTATCTATTTTTATACTTTCATGGATTTTTGATCCCAGTTTGGGGATTAACTATTTGCCTATAGGTGGGACCATAACAGGTGTTACCATCCCGAGTTTGGGTGGACCTGTGAACAAAAGCAATTAAGAGGTGCTTCCAAGGCTCCTCAAAAACTCTCGATCAGAGTTCTTGCTATTGGATGTAGTTTATTGTCATACCCAGGAAGATGTAAGTGGCAGGGTAGGTCCTATCCGTGAAAGTTTTAACCTGAAGGAACAAAAAAATGTAGCTCGTCCGGGCACTTTCGATGGCAGTAACGATAGCGCAGTGAGAGACACGCCACATTCCGCCTATGATAGAGAGGTTTGAAGGAGGAAAAATCCAACAAGGATTCGGGAACGCTTTTGAACTCTATCAAGAATGGAAAGTGACGACTTCCTCTGCCTTTACTATAAATATTTTCATGGCAATTGTTTTGATGAGCTTTCCTCCTTGGTATATCGACTGCTTAAATTTAAATGTGCTACTTAGATTGGCAACTAGGCTTCACCGTTTTACGGTTGAACTACCTAGATGCAACCGGATGTTCTCTTCTCATGTTTTTTTTTTCGCACTTCTCGCCTGTGGAACTCCCTCCTGATTTCTTCATTCTCTGCTACCTAAAATATTAAAAAAGAAACTTAGATGCAACACCTATCGCCATTTTCTGTCTTACTGAAAACTCTTCTTTTATTGTCCATTATCCTCACTAAAATCTTCTAATTCTCTTTCAATCTCAGTAATCCCTTGCGTCCTAGTGGCATTATTGCTTTTCTTGGAGTGAAATGTTATATATATATATATATATGTGTGTGTGTGTGTGTGTGTGTGTGTGCCTGTGTGTGTGTGTGTGTGTGTCTGTGTGCGTGTGTGTGTTAAACGTGGGTGTATATGCAGACAGGCGTGTTCGTAAATTTCTGACGTTAAGCTTTGCCTTACACATACGCGCATATATTTGGTGGGGGGGGTTCAGAGAAAAATATAATTAAACACCACGGAAAAATCCATTAGTTTTTACTAATGACTGAAGAAAATGAAAGAATATAAATTTTGGAAAAAATATAAAGAATTCGCGGACGTTCTATTAGCATTAAAAGAAGAATTGTTGAAACAAATTCAAGTTCCGACCAAATCTATTTACATTTATTTCGCACTAATGCTTTTCAGAATTTACCGCCCCCATCCCCCTACAAGTTATAGGTTAAATAGCAGGGTAGACTTGTCTCTCTAGCTTTGGACTAGAGTCGGTCTAGTAGAAGGACAACTCTGAATTGTGAAGAAGACACTAGGAAAACACTATGATCCCTTACGCACAGAACGGACACACCCTAAAATAAGAACAGTGACAAAAAAAATACAATTTTTTTCCTTTTTGTATTATTCAAGATTCAATGATATCTCATAAATTTATGCTTCCATTTTAATCTGTTAGTTATTTGAATGTCTACTTTCTTCTACACGACTCTACAATCGTTCTAATCAATTAATATACATGTGAATACACATTGAAATATTGAAAAATCAACTAGAATTGATACTCGTATAGTTATTACTATCAGCTAAGTTTTTGAGTTACTTGACACACAAACATGGTTTGAACGGTTAGAACCATTTATTATATATATATATATATATATATATATATATATATATATATATATGAGAAAGTAAATATTTTATATGTCTCATACAGGTAAAAATATAAATGCGAAACATATCATGACATAGCCACACGTCTTTTCATCTCAGTTTATCTTTTGAAAATAACAGAAGTCGATATATATAATTTTAAATAATTTCTAAATAATTTTAAATACTCTAGTTGAATTTTCAACCTCTCTCTCTCTCTCTCTCTCTCTATATATATATATATATATATATATATATATATATATATATATATATATATATATATATATATATATATATATATATATATATATATATATATATATATATATATATATATATATATATATATATATATATATATATATATATAGGTGGATATGGTGGATAGCGGCTCGGATTGAGGAATCAGGGAGCCGATTTCGAATTCAGTAGAATCCATTGCATTCACTTACGTGCTAATACCCTTGGGAAAGGTATGAATCGTCTTCTTCTCCCCCAAATAGCAGGACAGAATAGGTTCTATAGCCTTAGATGGCAACTGGTCTAGGAGAATGACAACTCTGAATTCAAAACCTGTGGAGAGTCGTTTTGTAGTGCATCAGTTCCTTCAGAAAGTGTGATTACTTCTGCACAAACCCTTCAACACTATAATCAAATCATACGTGCTGGTGTCAAGTTCAAATCATGTGCTGTTGTCGACCCTCATACGTCGAATAGGGGAGAGTCCACTATATATATATATATATAAGACCGCAACAAAAAAATGCTAGTTTTTATTACATATATGTCTTCATTGACGGCTCATCCAGGAACCTCAAAGCCGTACTGCTTCATAACGGGAGTATGTATCCATCTCTTCCCCTAGCTCACTCGGCTCAATTTCAAGATCTTGCTAGATACCTTGAAATATAAAGCGTATGTTTGGGAGATTATTGGAGACTTCAAAATGGTGGCCTTCCTGATGGGTCTCCAAGGCGACTTTACCATGTTTCTGTGCTATGTTTGCCTTTTGGACAGCAGGGACACCACTACCACAGGCGGAACTGGTCATAGCGGACCGAGCCCCAGTGTGGCGAAGAACAACGTCGAATAGAGATAATGTTGGACAGCCGGAAAGTATTGTTTCCTTCAATGGACTTAAAATTGGGCCTTTGAAACAATGTGTCACAATTCTAGATAAGGAGTCTGGAGCCTTCAAATACCATCAAGACTTCTTCCCCTAGCTGTTTGCGGCAAAAGACAAAGCCGATATCTTCGTCGGACCACAAATAAAGAAAATCATAGTGCAAGGAATTCCCCAAGAAGCTTACTAGGACGAGGAATGCATCATGGGACAGCTTTGCCTCAGTGGTTCGAGACTTCCTGGAGAATCACAAGGTCGAAAACCCTGTAATGCTTGTTGAGACTCTAGTGAATAACTACGGAAAAATGAGCTGCAGCATGTCTCTCTCAAAGTCCATATTTACGACACTCATCTTGATAAGTTCAAGAAGGACATAGGGACGTAATCAGAAGATCAAGGCAAGCATTTCCACCAGGATATTATGGACTTTAAATGTCGCTACCAAGGATCGTGTAACAAAAACATGATAGGAGACTGTATTTGGCGATTGGTTCGTGAAAGTAAATTTTTTGTGGTCAGTTTTGTGTAATTCTAGAATAAATAAATGCTACTTTTGAATTATATGT